TTATTTAACCAAACGTATGGACAGTGACCACGTTTACCTCAGAAATGTAATGAAATATCAACTTAAAACAAAGCCTGGCTTCCCTTAATTCCACAACAAACTCCGCAACAATTACGTACAAACACCGATACTTTATACAGAAACCAGGCTCCCTTTTATTTAACCAAACGTATGGACAGCGACCACATTTACCTCAGAAATGTCATGAAATCTCAACTTAAAACAAAGTCTGGCTTCCCTTCATTCCAGAACAAACTCCGCCACAATTGCCATACAAACACCGATACTTTATACAAAAACCAGGCTCTCCTTTATTTAACCAAACGTATGGACAGCGACCTCGTTTACCTCAGAAATGTAATTAAATCTCAACTTAACCCAATCCCTGAGCCTCTTATTCGACACCATAACCAACTGGGACACACCAACACAACGGTCACTAAACGCCGATACTTTATACAGAAACCAGGCTCTCTTTTATTTAACCAAACGTATGGACAGCGACCACATTTACCTCAGAAATGTAATTAAATCTCAACTTAATCCAATCCCTGAGCCTCTTATTCGACACCATAACCAACTGGGACACACCAACACAACGGTCACTAAACGCCGATACTTTATACAGAAACCAGGCTTCTCCTTTATTCAACCAAACGTATGGACAGCGACCTCGTTTACCTCAGAAATGTAATTAAATCTCAACTTAACCCAATCCCTGAGCCTCTTATTCTACACCATAACCAACTGGGACACACCATCACCAACACAACAGTCACTAAGCGCCGATACTTTTTTATATATACAGAATCCCAGGATCTCCTTTATTCAACCAAACGTATGGACAGCGACCACGTTTACCTCAGAAATGTAATGAAATATCAGCTTAAAACAAAGCCTGGCTTCCCTTCATTCTACAAGCTCCGCCACTATTACCATACAAACGCCGATACTTTATACAGAAACCAGGCTCTCCTCTATTCAACCAAAAGTGTCAACAAAGACCACATTCACCTCAGAAATGTAATGAAATCTCAGCTTACAAAAACAAATCTTGGCTCCTTTTCATTCTAGAACAAGTCCACAACGGCCATTCAAACGCCGATACTTTATAAAGATCCCAAACTCTCCTTTATTCAACCAAACGTATGGACAGCGACCACATTTACCTCAGAAACTTAACAACAACAAACACCACATCGATCTTATTTATTTTTTTAACCGACACAAGTTTACCGAAAGAACCACAGAGTATACTTCTCATACACTTTACCAGCTCGCTTCTATCTCTAATCTCTCTCTCTCTCCTAAGCCTCTATTTATTTAACAACAACCACCACCACCATGAAGTGGTGGTGGTGGTGGTTGTGGTGGTGAAGAGGTTAAAGAGCGGACGCGAACAACCTCCTCAGCCCTGACGACCACACAAACAACACAACACACAAATACAAAACACACACACAACGCACAAACACAACACACAAACAAACACAAAACACACACACACACACAAATACACACACAAACAAACACAAAGACACAAAACACACACACACACAAACACACAACACAAACACACAAGCAAACACAGACACAACACACACAAACAACACACAAACAACCAAACACAAACACCACATAACACACAAACAACACACACACAACACACAAGTAAACACAAACACACCACACACACAAACCACACATAACACACAAGTAAACACAAACAACACACACACCACACAAACAACACACAACACAAACAACACACACACCACACAAACAACACACACACCACACAAAAAACACACACACCACAAACACAACACACAGCACAAACAACACACACAACACACAGCACAAACACAAAGAGAGGCGCAACTTTAACCGGGGTCCATCGCTGTCGCTCCGCGCGCTTTCTCTTTACAATCGCGCCAGCTGTATTATCACCGTCAGCCGACAACAACAACAACCACCATCATCACAACAACAACAACCATCATCATCATCACAACAACAACAACCACCATCATCACAACAACAACAACAACCACCATCATCACAACAACAACCACCATCATCATCATCACAACAACAACCACCATCACAACAACCACCATCACAACAACAACCATCACGCTAACACCACCACAACAACGCCACACAACAATCCCCTCAAAACAACACCACCACATAACACCACCACAACACAATAATCCCATCAAAACAACACCACCACACAACACAACAATCCCCTCAAAACAACACCACCACATAACACCACCACAACACAACAATCCCCTCAAAACAACACCACCACATAACACCACCACAACACAACAATCCCCTCAAAAAACACCACCACACAACACCACCACAACACAACAATCCCCTCAAAAAACACCACCACACAACACCACCACAACACAACAATCCCCTCAAAACAACACCACCACACAACACCACCACAACACAACAATCCCCTCAAAACAACACAACACCACCACAACAATCCCCTCAAAACAACACCACCACATAACACCACCACAACACAACAATCCCCTCAAAACAACACCACCACACAACACCACCACAACAAAACAACCCCCCTCACCACCACACCAACCCGACTGACATCGCAACACAATATATTTTTAATTTTTCCTTTAAAAAAACCCGCCACCACCGCATAGAGCGAGGCGACATTCACCTCAGAAACGCGTTCGAGACGCAACTTTAGCAATCGCAACGCGAGTTACAAAGGGGCCCGACAGGCAAAAGACAAAATAATCTAACACCACCACAAAGACAACAATCCCCTCACACCAACACCTCAAGATCACACAACCACACCACCACCAACACAAACCCCCTCACTACACCACCACCACAAACCCCCTCACCACCACCACAAACCAACCCGCGACTGACATCGCAACAACAACAAAACATTTTTTAAAAATTTCCTTTAAAAAAAACCCGCCACCACCACCACCGCATAGAGCGAGGCGACATTCACCTCAGAAACGCGTTCGAGACGCAACTTTAGCAATCGCAACGCGAGTTACAGATGGGGCCCGACAGGCAAAAGACAAAATAATCTAACACCACCACAAAGACAACAATCCCCTCACACCAACACCTCAAGATCACACAACATCACACAACACCACCACCAACACAAACCCCCTCACAACACCACCACCACCAACACAAACCAACCCGCGACTGACATCGCAACACAAAACATTTTTTAAAAATTTCCTTTAAAAAAACCCGGCACCACCACCATCGCATAGAGCGAGGCGACATTCACCTCAGAAACGCGTTCGAGACGCAACTTTAGCAATCGCAACGCGAGCTACAGAGGGCCGACAGGCAAAATAATCTAACACCACCACCACAAAGACAACAATCCCCTCACACCAACACCACATCACACACCAACATCACACTACACCACCACCACAAACCCCCTCACCACCACCAAACCAACCCGACTGACATCGCAACAAGACAAAACATTTTTAAAAAATTTCCTTTAAAAAAAACCCGCCACTACCACCGCATAGACCGAGGCGACATTCACCTCAGAAACGCGTTCGAGACGCAACTTTAGCAATCGCGACGCGAGTTACAGACGGGGCCCGACAGGCAAAAGACAAAATAATCTAACACCACCACCACAAAGACAACAATCCCATCACACCAACACCTCACACAACACCACCACACCAACACAAACCCCCTCACAACACCACATCACACAACACCACCACCACAAACCCCCTCACCACCACCACCACAAACCAACCCGCGACTGACATCGCAACAACACAAAACATTTTTTTTTCTAAAAAAAATTTCCTTTAAAAAAACCCGCCACCACCACCACCACCGCATAGAGCGAGGCGACATTCACCTCAGAAACGCGTTCGAGACGCAACTTTAGCAATCGCGACGCGAGTTACAGACGGGGCCCGACAGGCAAAAGACAAAATAATCTAACACCACCACCACAAAGACAACAATCCCCTCACACCAACACCTCACACAACACCACCACACCAACACAAACCCCCTCACAACACCACATCACACAACACCACCACCACAAACCAACACAACCCCCTCACCACCACCACCACAAACCAACCCGCGACTGACATCGCAACAACACAAAACATTTTTTTTTTCTAAAAAAAATTTCCTTTTAAAAAAACCCGCCACCACCACCACCGCATAGAGCGAGGCGACATTCACCTCAGAAACGCGTTCGAGACGCAACTTTAGCAATCGCGACGCGAGTTACAGACGGGGCCCGACAGGCAAAAGACAAAATAATCTAACACCACCACCACAAAGACAACAATCCCCTCACACCAACACCTCACACAACACCACCACACCAACACAAACCCCCTCACAACACCACCACCACAACACCACCACCACAACCCCCCTCACCACCACCACAAACCAACCCGCGACTGACATCGCAACAACACAAAACATTTTTTTTTCTAAAAAAAATTTCCTTTTAAAAAAACCCGCCACCACCACCACCACCGCATAGAGCGAGGCGACATTCACCTCAGAAACGCGTTCGAGACGCAACTTTAGCAATCGCGACGCGAGTTACAGACGGGGGCCCCGACAGCGGCGGGCAAAATGAAAAGAGAAAAATAAAACAATGACCCAGGCTGAGGCCTAATGGCGCTGGGCCTTCCCGCTCGCCTCGCGCGGTCAATGCAACAGCCGACGAGAAAAAAAACCTCACACACACCCCCCCTCTCTCTCTCTCTCCCTCTCTCCCATCACCCTCCCTCACAACACACAAACAAACAACAACACAACAACAACAATAATTGTTTACCGTCCTGTTAACATCCCAGCCACGGATATAATAATGTTGTAATTCTCAAACCGGCCACGCATTCCGTACGTGGTGTGCGGGTTTTTTTGTTGTTGTTGCTGCTGCTGTTGTGTGCGCTACTCACTCTCTCACGCCCCACGAAAAACTCGAGGTTGTTGTTGTTGTCGTTGTTGTTGTTGGTTGTTGTTGTTGATGGTGGTGGTGGTGTCGTCGTGGGCCGATCCACGGCTTCTACGGTCGGCTCCTCGTTCCTTTCTGCCACCCCCCCCTACACCCCCCTTTCGTCTCTTCTCTCGCGAGCGTCTCCACTCACGCTGCTACTGCCGCTGCCGCCGCTGCTCCTCGTGCCGTGTGTTGTGTGGTTTAAAAGACACTTGCAGTGTTCACTCCCTCACACAACCACACACACAACCACACTCACAACCACACACACACACAGCCACACACACTCCCCCCCCCTCTCTCTCTAAGCTCCTCCCCCATCTCTCTATACTCTCCTCCCCATATCTCTTTAAGCTCCTCCCCCTCCCTCAAAGCTCCTCCCCCTCCCTCTAAGCTCCTCCCCCTCTCTCTACTCTCCTCCCCCTCTCTCTAAGCTCCTCCCCCTCTCTCTACTCTCCTCCCCCTCTCTCTCAGCTCCTCCCCCTCTCTCTACTCTCCTCCCCCTCTCTATAAGCTACTCCCCCCTATCGCTACTCTCCTCTCCTTCACTCCCCCCTCTCTCCAAGCTCCTCCCCCCCTCTCTCTACTCTCCTCCTCCTCTATCTAAACTCCTCCCCTTCACTCCTCCCTCTCTCTAAGCTCCTCCCCCTCTCTAAGCTCCTCCCCTTCTCTCAAAGCTCCTCCCCTTCTCTCTACTCTCCTACCCCTCTCTCTAAGCTACTCCCCCCTCTCTCTAAGCTCCTCCCCCTCTCTCTAAGCTCCTCCCCCCTATCTCTACTTTCCTCCCCTTCACTCCCCCCTCTCTCTAAGATCCTCCCCCTCTCTCTACTCTCCTCCCCCCTCTATCTAAGCTCCTCCCCCACTCTCTAAGCTCCTCCCCCTCTCTATAAGCTCCTCCCCCTCTCTCTACTTTCCTCTCCCCTCTCTCTCTCTAAGCTCCTCCCCCTCTCTCTACTTTCTCCTCCCTCTCTCTAAGCCCCTCCCCTCTCTCTAAGCTCCTCCCCCTCTCTCTACGCTCCTCCCCCTCTCTACTCTCCTCCCCTTCTCTCTACGCTCCTCCCATTCTCTCTACTCTCCCCCCCCTCTCTCTAAGCTCCTCCCCCTCTCTCTACTCTCCTCCCCCTCTCTCTAAGCTCCTCCCTCTCTCTCTAAGCTCCTCCCTGTCTCTCTCCTCTCCTTCGCCTCTCTCTAAACTCCTCCCCTCTCTCTACTCTCCTCCCCCTCTCTCTAAGCTCCTCCCCTATCTCTCTAAGCGCCTCCCCATCTCTCTAAGTTCCTCCCTCTCTACTCTCCTCCCCCTATCTCTAAGCTCCTCCCTCTCTCTTTCTACTCTCCTCCCCCTCTATCTAAACACCTCCCCCCTCTCTAAGCTCCTCCCCCCTCTCTCTAAGCTCCTCCCCTCTCTCTAAGCTCCTCCCCCCTATCTCTACTTTCCTCCCCTTCACTCCCCCCACTCTCTAAGATCCTCCCCCTCTCTCTACTCTCCTCCCCCTCTATCTAAGCTCCTCCCCCACTCTCTAAGCTCCTCCCCCTCTCTATAAGCTCCTCCCCCTCTCTCTACTTTCCTCCCCCCTCTCTCTCTAAGCTCCTCCCCTTCTCTCTACTCTACTCCCCCTCTCTCTCTAAGCTCCTCCCCCTCTCTCTACTTTCCTCCCCCTCTCTCTAAGCTCCTCCCCCTCTCTCTACTCTCCTCCCCAATCTCTCTATACTCTCCTCCCCCTATCTCTTTAAGCTCCTCCCCCTCCCTCAAAGCTCCTCCCCCTCCCCTCTAAGCTCCTCCCCCTCTCTCTCACTCTCCTCCCCCTCTCTCTAAGCTCCTCCCCCTCTCTCTACTCTCCTCCCCCTCTCTCTAAGCTCCTCCCCCTCTCTCTACTCTCCTCCCCCTCTCTCTAAGCTACTCCCCCCTATCGCTACTCTTCCTCCCCTTCACTCCCCCCTCTCTCCAAGCTCCTCCCTCCCCTCTCTCTACTCTCCTCCTCCTCTATCTAAACTCCTCCCCTTCACTCTTCCCTCTCTCTAAGCTCCTCCCCCTCTCTAAGCTCCTCCCCTTCTCTCAAAGCTCCTCCCCTTCTCTCTACTCTCCTACCCCTCTCTCTAAGCTACTCCCCCTCTCTCTAAGCTCCTCCCCTCTCTCTAAGCTCCTCCCCCCTATCTCTACTTTCCTCCCCTTCACTCCCCCCTCTCTCTAAGATCCTCCCCCTCTCTCTACTCTCCTCCCCCTCTATCTAAGCTCCTCCCCCACTCTCTAAGCTCCTCCCCCTCTCTATAAGCTCCTCCCCCTCTCTCTACTTTTCCTCCCCCCTTCTCTCTCTCTAAGCTCCTCCCCCTCTCTCTACGCTCCTCCCCCTCTCTACTCTCCTCCCCTTCTCTCTACGCTCCTCCCATTCTCTCTACTCTCCCCCCCCTCTCTCTAAGCTCCTCCCCCCTCTCTCTACTCTCCTCCCCCTCTCTCTAAGCTCCTCCCTCTCTCTCTAAGCTCCTCCCTGTCTCTCTCCTCTCCATTCACCTCTCTCTAAAACTCCTCCCCCTCTCTCTACTCTCCTCCCCCTCTCTCTAAGCTCCTCCCTATCTCTCTAAGCTCCTCCCCATCTCTCTAAGTTCCTCCCTCTCTCTACTCTCCTCCCCCTCTCTCTAAGCTCTCCCTCTCTCTACTCTACTCCCCCTCTCTCTAAGCTCCTCCTTCTCTCTCTACTCTCCTCCCCCCCTCCTCTAAGCTCCTCCCTCTCTCTCTACTCTCCTCCCCTTTCTCTAAGCTCCTCCCTCTCTCTCTAGTCTCCTCCCCCTCTCTCGAAGCTCCTCCCTCTCTCTAAGCTCCGCCCCCTCTCTCTTCTCTCCTCCCCCTTACTCAAAGCTCCTCCCCCTCTCTCTACTCTCCTCCCCCTCTCTCTAAGCTTTTCCCCCCTATCTCTAAGCTCCCTCCCCCTCTATCTACTCTCCTCCCCCTCTCACTACTCTCCTCCTCCCCCTCTCTATAAGCTCCTCCCCCTCTCTCTACTTTCCTCCCCCCTCTCTTTCTAAGCTCCTCCCCCTCTCTCTACTCTCCTCCCCCTCTCTCTACTTTCCTCCCCCCTCTCTAAGCTCCTCCCCCTCTCTCTACTTTCCTCCCCCCCTCTCTCTAAGCCCCTCCCCCTCTCTAAGCTCCTCCCCCTCTCTCTACGCTCCTCCCTCTCTCTCTAAGCTCTTCCCTGTCTCTCTCCTCACCTCCACCTCTCTCTAAACTTCCTCCCCCTCTCTCTACTCTCCTCCCCCTCTCTCTCTACGCTCCTCCCATTCTCTTTACTCTCCCCCCCTCTCTCTAAGCTCCACCCCCTCTCTCTACGCTCCTCCCATTCTCTCTACTCTTCCCCCCCCTCTCTCTAAGCTCCTCCCCCTCTCTCTACTTTCCTCCCCCCCTCTCTCTAAGCCCCTCCTCCTCTCTAAGCTCCTCCCCCTCTCTCTACGCTCCTCCCTCTCAATCTAAGCTCTTCCCTGTCCTCTCTCCTCACCTCCACCTCTCTCTAAACTCCTCCCCCTCTCTCTACTCTCCTCCCTCCTTCTCTCTACGCTCCTCCCATTCTCTCTACTCCCCCCCCCTCTCTCTGAAGCTCCTCCCCCTCTCTCTACTCTCCTCCCCCTCTCTCTAAGCTCCTCCCTCTCTCTCTAAGCTCCTCGCTGTCTCTCTCCTCTCCTCCACCTCTCTCTAAACTCCTCCCCCTCTCTCTACTCTCCTCCCCCTCTCTCTAAGCTCCTCCCCTATCTCTCTAAGCTCCTCCCCATCTCTCAAAGCTCCTCCTCTCTCTACTCTCCTCCCCCTTTTTCTAAGCTTTTCCCCCATATCTCTAAGCTCCTCCCCCTCTATCTACTCTCCTCCCCCTCTCTCTACTCTCCTCCTCCTCCTCTCTATAAGCTCCTCCCCCTCTCTCTACTTTCCTCCCCCCCCTCTCTCTAAGCTCCTCCCCCTCTCTCTACTTTCCTCCCCCTCTCTCTAAGCCACTCCCCCTCTCTAAGCTCCTCCCCCTCTCTCTACGCTCCTCCCCCTCTCTCTACTCTCCTCCCCTTCTCTCTACGCTCCTCCCATTCTCTCTACTTCCCCCCCTCTCTCTAAGCTCCTCCCCCTCTCTCTACTCTCCTCCCCCTCTCTCTAAGCTCCTCCCTCTCTCTCTACTCTCCTCCCCCTTTCTCTAAGCTCCTCCCTCTCTCTCTAGTCTCATCCCCCTCTCTCTAAGCTCCTCCCTCTCTCTCTACTCTCCTCCCCCTCTCTCTAAGCTCCTCCCTCTCTCTTTACTCTCCTCCCTTCTCTCTAAGCTCCTCCCCCTCTCTACAAGCGTCTCCCCCTCTCTCTACTCTCCTCCCCCTCTCTCAACTGGTGTCGGTAGTGGCTCGTTACTCAGCTAGCGGTAGCCCAGGGAGGGTTGGGGAACCTTTTTCCTGCCACTCTCTTTCTAAGCTCCTCCTTCTATCTCTCTAAGCTCCTCCCCTTCTCTCTAAGCTCCTCCCCCTCTCACTACTATCCTCCACCTCTTTCTAAGCTCCTCCCCCTCTTTCTAAGCTCCTCCCTCTCTCTCTCCTCTCCTCCCCCTCTCTCTAAGCTCCTCCACCTCTCTCTAAGCTCCTCCCCCTTTCTCTCTAAGCTCTTCCCCCTTTCTCTACTTTCCCTCTCTCTCTAAGCTCCTCCCCCTGTCTCTCTAAGCTCCTCCCCCTCTCTCTATTCTCCTTCCCTCTCTCTAAGCTCCTCCCCCTCTCTCTACTCTCCTTCCCCTCTCTAAAGGCTCCTCCCCCTCTCTAAAGCTCCTCCCCTCTCTCTACTCTCCTCCCCCTCTCGCTACTCTCCTCCCCCTCTCTAAGCTCCTCCCCCTCTCTCTAAGCTCCTCCCCCCTCTCTCTAAGCTCCTCTCTAAGCTCCTCCCCTTTTCTCTAAGCTCCTCCCCCCTCACTCTACTCTCCTCCCCCTCTCTCTAAGCTCCTCTCCCTCTCATCTACTCTCCTCCCCATCTATCTTACTCCTCCCCCTCTGTCTCTACTCTCCTCCCTCTCTTTACTCTCCTCCTCCTCTCTTCTAAGCTCCTTCCCCTATCTCAAAGCTCCTCCCTCTCTCTCTAAGCTCCTCCCCTCTCTCTAAGCTCCTCCCCTCTCTCTGTACTCTCCTCCCCCTCTCTCTAAGCCCCTCCCCCTTTCTCTAAGCTCCTCCCCCTCCCCTCTTTACTCTCCTCCCCAATCTCCCTACTCTCCTACCCCTCTCTCTAAGCTCCCCCCCCCCTCTCTCTAAGCTCCCCCCCTCTCTCTTCTTTCCTCCCCCTCTTTAAGCTCCTCCCCCT